GCCACAGCATTAGAGTAATAGCTGCAATGGCTGACTGGTAGCTTACAGTTTGTGCTTGGTACCTGATATTCGTGGAAGAGGTTTATGTTCTCAGGGTAGTCCCCGTAGATGTTTAGGAAAACAAGTTATTATTTCTGTTACTATTGTTAGCTGTTTTACTATTCTAACATAAACAATTATGTTAGTGATACAGATAAAACTGGTAAGAACAGGTTGAATTAGTTATAGATGCCTTTGTAACTGTGTGCTGCTGGAGCTATCTGTGTAAACAAAATCAATAAAACAATTCACAAAGGACAGTTGCATGTATACAAGCACTCTAGATGAAAGTGACTAAAATTCATGGAATTATGAGATGCTATTGCCAGTCACACAATAGAGTTAGAAATATAGTTTAATTGCTAATTAAGTGTTGTGAAAATGTGAAGACCCTTGTCAAAAGTGTAAATAGACCATTTATTAACATGGCTGCCTGTGTTTACTTAGTACCAAGTATTGCTGTTCTTTCAGGCTCCTCATACAAAGCACTTCGCACTGAAGCGTAAGCCAAAAGCAGCTGCCCTCCGAGCAGATTTGATAAGTCGGTCATCAGATGCTCAGGCTAATGTTAAAAAGAGCCAGCTACCTACAGTGCCTGTACGCTCCAGAGGAATGCCACGGAAGATGACTGATACCAGTTAGTATGAGAGTTCATTTAGTCTCAGGGTTGTTGATCTGTAGAATGAATTATATGTGAGAAATTATTATTTTTAGTTATTTTTTAAAAACCAGATAATAACACTGGTAAATATATTGATCTTTTAATGATGACTTTTAAGATAATGGTTTTTCTGTAGGGGTGTGTTGTCCAGAGGGATCATACCTCTAAGGTTTTGATTTTAGACATTTTTCTCTTTTTGCAATATTAAGTATACACTCAAAATTCATAGATAAATTAATTCTTTTCTTTTACCAACCAATCTCTCCAATCAATAGCGCCTCTGAAGGGCATACCAAGTCGTCTCCCTGGCTCAGGGTTAAGAGGGTCTGGTCTTGGGTCCACTCCCGTCTCGCGACCTTTAGTGCGGCCCAGTGTCACTCGCAAGGACGGAGGTATCAAGCTCTTGGACATAACAGAGTCGCCCATTGCTGCTCAACAGGTATGATCTTTCGTTTATTCAGTTGATGTGCGAGTTCTACTTCCTTTTGCAGTTTTCTTTTAGTACAATGGAATATTAGCCTCGTATTCAGAATGTTTCGTGTCAGAAAGATTCATGGTGATCCTTTGCCTCTGGAATGTATGTATGTCATGCATACATACATACATACATCTATCTGTACATACGTCCACACAAGCATACACACATACATCCACACAAGCATACACACATACATCCACACAAGCATACACACATACATCTACACACACACATGCACACACACACATCCACACACACATCCACATCCACACACACACATCCACACATACACATACACATCCATATCCACACACACATCTGCACACACATCCACACACACACACACACACACACACACACACACACACACACACACACACACACACACACACACACACACACACACACACACACACACACACACACACACACACACACATCACACACACACACACACACACCACACACACACACACACACACACACACACACACACACACACACACATCCACACACATCAAACACACACATATCCACAACACACACAATATCCACAAAACACACACATATCCATACACATATCCACACACATATCACACACACACATACACACACACACACACACACACACACACACACACACACACACACACACACACACACACACACACACACACACACACACACACATATATATATATATATATATATATATATATATATATATAAAGTATGTAAATACAGATACAAACAGAGTACTGTGTAGACAAAGGTAAAAGGTAAACCACCACAATAAGAAAAGAAATTTAATCATGATGTTTTGACCTTGTTATGAGTTCCTCATCTGGTGAAAAATTACCAAAATGGATCCATTTTAGTTATTCATTCCACTGATGAGGAACTCTTGACAAGTTTGAAACATGGTTTGATTTAATTTCTCATTGTTGCTGTTTCTTCTCATGTGTGTGTAGGCAGGGGATATGTTTATGTACGTGCATGTCGTTAATTTCTTTTTATTCTTTTATTGTCCAGGCCAAGAAAAGACGAAAGTTACAGGATACTGCAGATGCAAAAGCGGCTGAAGCTGAAGAGAAACGTAGAGAACAACAGCAGCAGGGAGATGGGAAGCAGGCAGCGCAGCAGCAACAGCAGCAGCAACAGCAACAACAACCTACCACTCCAGAATATGCTGCAGGCTTGGCTCCTGCCAACCCAGAAACTCCAAGTCCAGCCACGCCATCTACTCCTCTGCTCTCGGCTTCTGCTGGAGGGGCTTCAACATTGCATAGTATGTCATTGTATTATTTTTGTTTGTTTTTTGTTTTTCTTTTCTTTCTTTCTCTTTTTCTTTCTTTTCCTATTTTTATGCCCTAAAAACTCTTTGGAGTTTGGAAGTGAATAGTAGAGAGTATTGTAAGTGATTTTATGGACCTACAATTTAAGAATTACCAAAAAGTAATTGATTGCAAATTCCCATGAAAGTATGGCATGAAAATAGGTGGCCAGCATTTGGCAAATGCTGTTTACAGAGGTTCTGATGGTTAGACCTTTCAGCATTTTATGCAGACAAGAGGCCAAGGTTAAGAATTCAGTGTGATATTGTAATCAACAGTCTGTAGAACATTTTGCAAATGCTTTCAGATTATATAACTGTCCTTTATATTTATAAGCATTATCATGATGTTGATAAATGGACTTGACCTATGTTTCTTCTTTTTTGTAGAACAGATAAAAGTTCAGCACCTATTCAGTATGTAGTTATAATGAAGTGATCATCAAAAAGTGATTGTTAAAAATTCCTTTCTAGCAAATGCTGTGGCAGTGGGAACTATAGCAGCAAGGTCAACGCTTCAGCAGACCTCAACTTCTACAGGTCGTGCTACTCCAACTCTACCTGCCACCCCATCTGGTGGAACAACACCTCAACGGATCATTGTTACTCCAAGTACTCAGGCTGCGGGTTCACCAACCGTTGTTTACCGAACAGTTTCCCACACCCCTGTTTATACAACAACTGAAGTCATACAGGCTTCAACAGACAGTGTTTCACCAACAACTAGAGAGGGAACACCTAATGGCCAGCCTCAATATGCCACATTACAGGTACTTTACCTTGGGATATAGTGTGATTTATGGAAGCTGTTGTTTAGAAATATTTATGCATGTGTGTGAATATATATATACATATATATATATATATAATATATATTATGAACATACATATATATATATTATGAATATACATATATATGTATGAATATATGTATACTTTTATGCATTGTTATTTTAAATATAAAAGTGTATTAATTTAAGCTCTGTATTTCAGCCTGTGCAACCAGACCTTGTTTACACCACAACACCATTAACAACAGCTGCTCTGGCAGCTGCTGCTACACCAACAACTCAGCAACAACAACAGCCTGCACAGCAACAGCAGCAGCAACAGCAACCACAACAGCAACAGGCACCACAGCAGCAGCAGCAGCAGGCACCACAAGTTATTACAGTTGCAGCAGCAGCAGCAACTCAGCAAGAAAATGCACAGCCCCAACAAGTGCCTATCAATCAAACAGCAGTTACAACTCAGCAACAGGAAGGTTGCTGTCTCTTACTGTAAGTATTACTAAAGGATTCTATACACCTATACACACACCAACACAAATGTATGATCTTTCACACACTCGGTCTCACACATACACATATACATGCGAGGCACACTCACACACCACACACATTACACACACACACATTCACACACACACCATACAAACACTACTCATCACACATACTTCATTCACACATTACTTCATTCACACATGCACCCATTCATTCACACATATACGCAACTATTCATTTACACACACACACACACACACACACACACACACACACACACACACACACACACACACACACACACACACACACACACACACACACACACACACACACACTCTCTCTCTCTCAGGACACTACACACACACACACACACACACACACACACACCACACACACACACCACACACACACACACACACACACACACACACACACACACACACACACACACACACACACACACACACACACCACCACACACACTTGCTGACAAAAGTAAGGAAAGTAAAATGTTAGTTGCAACACTGTATTGTTAACACCATGTTTCATTTTCAGCGGGAACAAATGTTGGAGGCCCAAGAGATGTTCCGTTCAAGCAACAAAGTTACGCGACCAGAGAAGGCCCTTATTCTTGGATTCATGGCTGGATCTCGAGGTATGTCATCTTTTGTAAATGACTTGAGAAGCCTGATTGTTTGTCTATTTTTATTTATTTTAGCTCTTTTTAGTTCTTTACTTTCTAAAATGGGTGTTGAAAAAATAGTTATTACATTTTTCCGTTTCTTGTGCCTCAGTATTTGCTCTCTTGCAGAAAATCCTTGTCCTCATCTGGGTAACATTGTGACCATCAAGCTGAGTGAGGGAGAGGAGACGGTTCCACAGCCAGAGGGCACCTTCATTAACATGATGGCTGAGACACACTTCCAAATGAACTACAACACAGGAGAATGGAAGAGGATAAAGAAGTACAGACCCTTGCCAGTAGAGTGAAGAGCAGACACAGACCTTTAGTATTGACCAAAGTCCATTTAGTAGTCAGGCTTTAGCACAGAAACCATGATCCTTAAGATTAAATAAATGTTAATCTATTGTTATGAGTGAGTGACTTGTTATATAACAAAGGGACTTGTTATTATTGATAAGTAAATGTTGGTTTAGCACTGATATTTTAATGGTCTGTAAACACACTATAGATGGTAGATG